CATCTGCCTCTACGATGGAAACGAATAGCAGTCTTTGAAAATGAGTGAATGGATAGGTATCTTGACGTTCCTAACTGGAATCATGTTGTCGAAGTCGGCATGATGAGTCATGAGTTCGTATGTCAAAGAAATAGAAAATTTACCATTAACTGAAAAATGTCAAATAGCTGACGGCGGCTAGCTCTTTATTTCTTTATGACATGATGGTTGGGAAAGAACTGTTCTGTCCACAGATCGATATGAGAGGCGATAAAATCGATATGAACCCTCGTCTTTGTCTATTCTCTCAAAAGCACAATTAGAACATGTCTAATATTGTTAAAGCTCTGGCTCATATGGCAACCGTGTAATATTATTTTGTACTTCATAGCTGTCTACTAACAAAGCATTGATGACATTTACTGTATGTTTAAACCTAGTGCATCTGAAACAAACAAGCTGCAAGTGGAACGTTAAATGATGAGGTTGTTAGGAGGCCATATGAAATCTCTCTTGCACCTTTCATCAAGATTTCAATTGTGTATGCAAAATGGATTATTGTATAAAATCATGCAAATCAGCTTGCAAGCGCTCCTGTTGTTTGTTTGCATATCCACGACGCTCTTCTTGATCGCAGATCAGAAGAAAGTGTTGCACAACGAGCCAGCAAATACGCTACTGTAGCTTAGAAAGGCTCCAAAAAAGTTTTAAACAAAATTTCGTGTCATATGCTTACGGCACATCGTGTTAGCCTGGTGCTACATGCTAAAAAAACATGCACATAAAAATACCTGTTTCGCAATATTTTCCAGCATAGCCCGGATTGCAGTCACATTTAAACCAATTCAAACCGTCGATGCAACTGCCGCGATTGTTGCACGTGATACCAACGCAATCGTCGATGCCTAAATGAAGTCCGTCAAATTAAAACATATAATCTTTATTTGTACACTTATTGTTCGACACAAAAAACACCTAGGCCATGTGTTCATGAATGCTGGATGTATACTGAAAAGCGCAATGCGAGGCACAAGCCACGTGAAAAGAGTTGTTTCGAAGGACTGCTGGTGGCAAGACTCGACAAGAATAGAAACGCACAGTGGCAGTCAGGAATGATTGGCATAATTCGTTTCTTATTCAGATTCAGAGATCACAATTAGATGGATCTGATATATGATCAGGAGATAACAGAGGAAAACTACTGAGTTTACTGATCAACCTGCATGCGAGAATGTCTGAGATAGATCATAGACCGGATGGCTCGTTCATGCATAGGACTTGGCATTGCTGAGCCTTATGATAATGCAGTTTTGTAAGCGGATTCACAAAGAACCTGAGGTATTGAGAAAGCCGTCTGAACTCGTTGGCTACACGAACTGAAAAATAGGTGACATTGAAAATTAATTAAAAGAGGAAAATACAACTGCAAATAATAAAGTTATGACGGCAAGAAAATAAGTTCAAATGATGATAGAACGGATAACCCTTAGAGTATATTTTATTTTACCCAGAAGACTCAAAAACTACCAGGAAGAGGTCGACGGCAAGATTAAACTTTCACATTTTAAGGACTTAAAATGAACAGATACAGAAGATCAGACTGCGTTGAGAAGTCCTACTGTAAATTCGCCAGCATTTAATCTAAGCAGATCGACAATAGCAATGAAAGCGAGGTCGTGTTCAGAGTCAACTTGTACGAATATCATCAATGCATCTGAATTGCCATGAAACCTGCCTTGTCGAACGAGCAGCAGCGATTGGCTGGTGCAACATTTCGGGCATGTCACGTGGATATCACGAATAATGATGATCCCGCAGAAACGGCCTTTGATTCGCTGCGATCGACTCGACCATTTGAGGAAACGGTAGTTCGAATGAAATTGTAACGGATGAATCATTGTCAT